ATATGAGATGGCGCTGAGAAGAATTATTCTGGCCTTGTGATGATTTCTGAATTCACGCTTTTGCTGATCAGACATCATTTTCCTGTCAATCTTCTGACCACGTCCATCCACTGGGTGCGTGTATCCATCAGTCACCATGTCCCACAGATCAGCATCATGGGCCAAAAAGAAACTCTAAATTCTGTCTTTCCAGTAGTCAAAGTTTTCTCCATCAAATACTGGAGGTTTGCCACTGAATCTGTCCCTTTCTTCATTGTTGTCATTGCTGATGTTTTGACTTGGTCCAACCATTATGTTTTTCTAACGCTGGATCTTGTACTGACACGGTTAAGTGTTGAAGCTCAGAACCAGGCGCTCTGATGCCAATTGAAGATGTGAAAAACACAAGAAGGGGGGGTTAAATTGAAAAACTTAAATCAAAAGGCTTAACAACACAGTATTTTTATCCTGGTTCGTTTGATATCAAACTACTCCAGTCCACCCGTCAAGGTGATTTCGCCTCTCTCCAACGAGGTCTTAATCCCCTATTCTCAAAGAATTACAACAGCTACTTTAACAACTGTTAAAGTCTTCTTGAGTACAACCAAAATCCGGTTAATCTCAAGGAACTTCTTTTACAAATGATTGAACAAGTCTGTGTTGTTGTTTTCTTACAAAAATGTATATCACAACTGTGATAATTACACAAAAATAAGCTTGGAATAAAATGAATTTGCTAAAGCTTTGAATAAGCGTGGTTTGGATAGCTTGGAAAATTTGTTGAGTGCATACGTATGTGCTTCTTTTCACAAGCAGACTTGTTTATATAGGCAAGCAAAGATACGTTGTCCATAACGCAGGTTTTAATGATAATAACACACTTTCCTTTTGTAGAAGATCTTTGTCTGAAGAAAGCCGTTAGCATTTAATTCTGTCTTGAATAACCAGTAACGCTTCAGAGTCTTCTTTGCTGTACCTGCTGATAACGCTTCAGAGTGTTGATGACTTGGGTAAAGATGTCTTTGATCAGAGTCAGAGTGTATTTGTTTAGGCGCAGATTCTGGTCATCAATCTTCAACGTATAATCTGGTAGCTTCAGCGTGTAGCACAAATTGCTGATCTTCTGATGCTGATTCCATTCTGATGCTGATTCCATCAGAACTTCTGCATATACAAAACATAATTTTAAGGAGCATAATTGTTCTTTGCATATATCTTTGAAATAACTTATTCTTTATATTTTGTTATCATCAAAACTCTAATCAAGGGTTGTAGAATCAAACTATGTTCTAACAGGATAAAGAGGTCTCCCTTAACCTCCAATAGGTTTTTGTTTCCATTTTTGATGATGAGTATGAAGAATGAATTAATCTGATAATTGTCTTATGTTGCCTTAAATCTATGAATGTATGGTGAATTATGTTGAAATTAGTGTTTTAGGGTATGAATATAATTGATTAATTCTTGATAAGATTGATAGAGTTATGTTAATTGGTGAATATCTGATATGTTAGTCATGTTAGAATGTGAAATTGTTGAATTTTAATTTATGAAATTGGGACTAGGTTGGAGTATGAATGATAGGGAAGGTAGAGAGGATCGTAACTTGAAAACTGGAATTTTTGCACTTTAGACTCAGTGTAGTCGATTGTCCTCTCAGTGCAATTGATTGTATGGCCACAAAAATGAAAATATGGTTTTGGCATAAACTACATAGGATATAGTGCAATTGATTATAATCCCAGTATAATCGATTGCATTATTTGATTATTTGAAAAAAATCGATTTTACCCTTGTTGCGTTGTCCGGCGTTTTTGGCCATAACTTTTAATTTATAAGTCCAAATGATACACTGTTCGAAGTGTTAGAGAGCTAATGCCCAGAGCTACATAATGATAGTGTTTGGGGAATTTCTTGAATAATAATCATGTACCTACTGTGGTGATGTTTGTAATGGTTTATATAAATGATTTGATGAGGTATTGATGACATAAATGAAATAATATGATTGGTGTTTATAAATATGCATATGTCGAGTGATAATGTTGATGATATTGTTATGATGAAGTTTTTATGATGTTAATGTTGATGATGTAGTTAGTGATGTTGCATGTTCAAATATATACATGCTATTTTGATGGTGATTTGTTGTTGGTGGCATACACGATCAGAAGAAGGGCCAATGTGCATGTGTTTTTGCATGCTAATGTTGACAGTCATGCATTTATATTATCTGAACTTTGGTTCTTTTTAGTGAGCCTCGATCTTACTATGGGGATTGGATGCAGGTAGTTGATTCCTATGATGGGGAATTAGTGAAGCATTACCTATGGTGAAGGTAGTGATTTTCGTGTGCTCCAGTTCTATGAGGGAATCTGATCCTATGATGGGGATCAGGGAGCGAGATGAATCTGAGTGTTCATAATTAGTACAACATACATCGTCGAGTCAAGTAGTTGTCATGAGTCACATTGTATGAATACAATTTGTGAATGTTATTTTGGTGTATGATGATAAGGTGTGCCTATAATTATGATGAATTTTATATGAATGGTATGAGCTGATGGCGTTTAGGTGGAGTGTGAATACATGTTATTGAGGTGCATGTTGATATGTGTATGCCTTGTAGTGTATGTACTTATCTTGATTTTTTTGTAAACCATTTATTATTTGAATGTATTCTTACCTCTTTTGCTTTAATATTGTCCACTATGGACAACTTGCAGATACTTAGAAGTATATTTGCTAAAGTAAGTAGAAGATAGGTCTTGGAGTTACTTCTTTAGTTTATTGTTTTGCCTAGTGGTGCATTGCTCTAATCATGTAACATCAGGTTAAGGAAAATGCTTGATTTGATTCTTATGTCGTTTATGTTGGAGTTAAAGACTATTTTGTTTTGTTGAGATTTCTAAGTTGTTTTGGGTTGACTGTTACAACTCCTTTTACTTATGTTATGAAGTTAATGTTTATGAGACTAAATTTCACGAATCACAATATTGCCTTTATTTGCTTTAATAATGATTTTGTTGAGATGATATCTTAAGTGAAGGTGAGCACGTGTTGACAAGTTGGATGTCTTATTTTATAAGTATGTGTTATATATCAGACGAGTGGATGTTGTGTAAACATCCTAGGTGTAAATATGCGCATTAAATATTCTATTGTAACCCGTGTTACAGAGAAGGTTATGTTTGATTGTGTGTGACGCTCTAAGTGGTTTCAATTTTATTGATTAAATTCTTTTATAATTTATGTGCGAGATTTAGGGTGTTACAAAGGGAGCCTTTATTTATAGGCTTGAGGTTCCCTAAAAAAGTAAATAACATTTAATAAAAAATAGTTGTTGCTAATCGATTGATTCAATCCGTTAAGGTTTAAAAAGAAATCGTGTATAAGTTTCAAAATGGAAATATAAGATATATAGCCCTTGCATAGAATTTGTGTGCATTCATCTTGCCTTGCACCTCAAGTGCGTGCTAATCTAATCGGTTAGCACTTCGCTTCAACTGATTAAATATAGTGAAAATATATTTTGTGGCTTTTTGACTTCTCCCATTCTGCTCTATACAACTTCTATATGTTTTTCAAAGTATTTTCTTTTAGAAAAGCATTTCATAAAAACTTTTTAATGTGTGTGTGCTTATAACCATGTACTTATATGAAAAGTCATTTTGCTTTTTACATAGTTTCACTCCCTTACTATTTTAAGATATTTTATCTAAGTCTTTGTCAGTTGTAATCTCTTGCATTTACACTTGTTTGAGATCTCTTGAGACTTTTGATAGAATCCAGTTTGTTTTGTCTCTATCTGATAGTCATGCTTATCAAATTTTTATACTCCAGGCTTGCATCTTTAACGGTTTAAGTGATTTGTTTAACTTATCATAATTTGCATGATAGATATATGTGTTCTTTCTTTTATAGTTGTCATCATTAAAAGATATTGTGTTGATAAGGATCTATTACCTACAAAATAAGGTTTTACACTAGTTAGACCTTTTATAAAGACCAACACCTTCATTGAATGGTTCAAACCCATGAATAGATTTCATTGTTTATAGGGATAAAACCCTCGTCAGCATTGACAAAATCATTAACAACCTCGTCAATGTTGTCACTCTCATTAATCACTACATGAATAGAAGGAAGAGTTGGAGTGCACCATTTAGATGATAGCCGGTAGGCTAAAAACTTCACTCACAAATGCAAAAAAAAAGAATAATCAGAAAACGCTCGCAAATTGTTCGATGAAATGTCTGAACGGACAACAACTTTTTATAATGTTATGGTCTCTAGATGATAGTCACCAAAGCTTATGGGAACAAAATGTATTAGTTTCCTTTGTGATCGCAATGACTCCTTGCACCTTTGTGGTTACGGTTTTCCCGTTGTTTGCTTTTGTAACTACAAATCCTGAATCCACTATTGGTTATCTGATAGGATTATCTAAGACTGGATTGACTTTCTGGTTTATATTCATGAACTCAATGAGTTTTGGTTACCTTTCAACTTGTGATCTTGGTAAGTCACATGTTCAGTTTAATAAAAAATTATCATTCTCAAAAGTAAAATGTTTGCAATTTCGAAGCTTGACCTTTTTGATCCTTTATGAAGGTTTAAGTCATTGGATAAATTTGGACGGAAAATATATTTATCCTAATTTAAAAAGTGGATGGAAGGAGAAGTGATTCTTCATTTAATGGAGTTTTATATTCTAAAATTAGTATGTCTACGCTTCAGATTCTAAAATTCATAAAATATTTTTGTTAATTTAAAAGACTTAAAAAAAAAAGATTATAGAAGGAAAAAAGAAAAGCTCTTTTCTTAATAAAATATTCTCTTGACTCCACATGTTAAGGTGCATTGTAGATGAAGAGATAAAGGAATCTTTGTGCTTTTCATTTCTATAAAAGGGAATGTAACTCTCTCCTCTCTTAAAGCAAGAAACAAACATCAATCAATACACACACATATTTGATAGAATAGAAGCATATTTTCTTCAGCTCCAACATTTAGCATCAATGGCACCTCCTTCATCAGACCTAAGAAAGATTGGCTTAGAAGGTTTTGATTTAATAGAAAAATTCTATGGTCCAACAAGAAGGAGCAGCATGGAAGACCTTGCATATGGAGCAGACAAGGATTCAACTGTTTACTTTGTTGGGATATCGAATGTAAGTTATCGTAAGGGAAAATTATCTCAAAATCGTTGGGGTAGACCCATTAAATTTTAAGCACTAATTCGCCTTAAATTTTAAGTGGGTCTCTGGGTCATGTTATGGTATATATACGTAGGAAAAAGCTCGAAGACAAGTGAATTTATTTTAATCAAGGTCTTCTGTAGCTAAGGGAGTTTATATATGTAGCTTAATAAAGTGCTTTTCGTTTAAGTACCAAAATATATGTAATCTCTATAGTTTCTGTAAGGAAATGTCTTCTTATGGCATCTCTTAGTACGGAGTTATGAACCATGAGATTTCTTTTTAATAAATAAATTTTGTTTTAAAATTATTGTCGTTTTCATTTTTCAATGTAGTAATAATTATTATTTTTTTAATTGTGTCATTTACTTTTTACTCTATATTATTTTCAATATATTATTAGGATTAATTTTATAAAAGTGTAATGTCTTATGATAATAAATCATTGCATTTCTTAATTTGCGCAGAAAAACTTTAAATGACAATCATTTTAAAATAAAAAAAAAGTAGTTATTTTGTCTTTATTATGTGAAAATAACTGTGTATTTATAATAAAGATATTATAGAAATATACGTACATGTATATTATTGATATATTTAAGTTGATGTAAGAAGACAATGATTTTATCATAACAAAATTATATCATATACATTTTTTATGATAAAATATTTTTAATATGTATTTTAAAAATAATAAAAAAATTTAAAAATTAATTTGTGTAGTGTTAAAATTGTAAAAGGCCCCGCTTAAACCAATGTCTTTAGACTGCCCCATAAGAGGCAACGCTGGAATTTCACTCAAAAGAAGGTATTGCTTCGCCCCACAATTTTCCTATCGCCTGTTAGTAAGGAACATGAAATAAGACGTTTCTAGGGCAGAGAGAAGTCAGAGTGAATAATTGATCCACAACTTCTTGAAAAATAGGGATTCAAAGGTCCACCATTGACTCAGTGTGAGTGGTGACCCTTCCCAAGAGAATCCTATGTCCTAAAGGCATATATAAATACATATGCTATGTAGGGGAAAATGACATTTCTTACGCAATACACATAATTACACTCCTAAGCATATCACTTATCAAAGATCATCTCTCGTATGATCACATCCTCTAACTGATATGTACCCATTACAAGATATTGATCACCTTATCGACGAATCATTAGGCTACCGCATGTTAAGCTTCATGGATGCGTACTTAGGACACAACCACATTCGTATGGATCCTATGGAGACGCCCAAAACAACCTTCACGTTGAACCATGGAAACACTACAATAATGGCATGTCTTTCGGCCTTAAGAATGCTGGCACCATCTATCAACGCCTCATGGATGTTGTCTTCGCTAACCAGATGGGTAAAATCTGGAGGTTTACATCGATGACATGATAGTTAAGAATATTGAATGGTGCAGTCATGTAGAGGATTTGCAAGATGTCCTGGAGTCAGTTAAGAAGTATGATATGCCACTAAACCCCGCCAAGTGTTATTTCGGGGCCATGCGATGAAGTTTTCGGGCTTCAGGCTGACACAGAGAGAAATCAAGTCCAACCTAGACAAGTGTCAATCAGTCATAACAATGATGATCCTCAGTAATATAAAGGAAGTACAACAGCTCACAGGTCAGCTCGCCACACTATCTCGCTTTTTTTCCAGAGCAGGTGACAAAGCCTTCTTCTTTATTGCTATAAAAAAGAACGACAGGTTTGAGTGGACCCCCCAAGTGCGAGGATGCTTTCTAAAAGGTCAAGAACTTACTTACATCTCCATTCATCCTGACTCTCCCAAGAGAGGTATCTTCGATGATACTCTACCTCTTTGTCATAGATCAAGCGATGGGCTCATTCCTTGTCCATGAAATTGATAGGGTGGAGAAAAATTTATATTTCACAAGCAAGGTGTTAAGAGGCACCAAAGCATGCTATCAGAAGATCGAGAAACTACTAGCCATCATCATTGTAGTGAGGAAATTGAGACAATACTTTTAGGGTCACAAGATCCTGGTAAAATCCAACTATCATATTCGGCAAGTCATTAACAAGCCCGATCTAGCAGGGAAGATGATATCATGGGCAGTGGAACACTCGGAATATGACATCCAATATGTCACGAGGGGGAGCATCAAGTCGTAAGCTATGACATATTTTGGGGAAGAATTCAGCTCACTTGTAAATGAGGATACGCTCACAGAGTAGATTCTATTTGTAGATTGCACCTCCAACATGAAAAGGAGCGGTGTCAGGATAGTCCTAGAAGAGCCTAACGACATACTTATCGAGCAAGCCTTAAAACTCGAATTCACTTCCAGCAATGTCCAGGCGAAGTACGAAGCTCTCATTTCCTAAATTATCCTCACCTTAGAGATGAGAGTTGCAACACCCTAAATCCCCCACGTAATTATTAAATAAAATTTGAAGGAATTTAAAACCTTTCAATATTCAGGATGTCACCTTCATACACGCACATGCTCATCAATATGAAATATGTAACACATTTATAAAAACAGAAAACCACATATACTTCATGTCTGAAAAATCTTTCATTTATTAGCAGCAGAAAACATCAACAACAATTATTCTTAACTCTTCAACTTGAGTTATAATTATTGTAAGTGTTTAGTTATTGGCATGTATTTTTGGTAAAACCAGGTGTGTAAATGTCATGACTGATGTCATAACATTCTGGAATATTAGGTACTTTATACAGAAAAAGTATGGCATACAGTAGCTACTGTTTATGAGTGTGTATCTGAGCATTTTGCAATGATCACATTTATTGCCTTCTACCAAAATCAGTAAACAGGAATTCTGATGTCATAACAAATGTTAAGACATCCTGTACTGATCTAACAGTTATGCAGTTTGGTTAATTCTGAGATTTTTCAGGAAGTTGGTTCATTCTTTCCAGAACAGAATCTCACGTGGACTTTAGGTTAACCTAGCTCAACCCTAATCTGGTTGATAAAGTCTTGTGACCAAGTCTTAAGGTTAAACCTAATTAACCCTATCTTTTTGTGGAAACCCTAACTGAAGAAACAGCTGCATATATATTCAACAGGAATGCTGGTTGCAGAGTAACTCTTTGACTGAAGATCAATTAGGAGCTGTATAGTTTTAACTGCTGTAATCCAAGCAAGTATCATTGTGATAAGTGACTTGGAATAGGTTTTGATTGTAAGGGTTTTTATATCACTCAAAGCTTTGAAGCAAGAGTGTTTTGTGTCTCTTGACTAAAGCTTTGAAGCAAAGTCAAGTTAGGTTTATGTATCACTCAAAGCTGTGAAGCACGAGTGTTTGTGTTACTTGATTAAAAAGATGTGAAGCATAATCAAGTGTATGTTCTGAAGAGTGTCTTCATTATTTCATTAGTCAATTGTTTTAAGTATCACTGCTGTGATTGAGGGGGAGTGAATAGGAACTCAGGTTTAAGTTGAACCTAGATTGAAGTTGCATTGGGTAGGTCTTAAGTGAAGGAGATAAACTGGTTGGTTTATTCCTGAATTAATATCTCTTATAGTGGATTTCCTCCCTGGCTTGGTAGCCCCCAGAGTAGGTGTTGTTTCACACTGAACTGGGTAAACAATTGACTGTGTTCTTTACTGTTTTTCTTTACTGTCTTATAGAAAGTCAGATATGGTGTCATAACATTCACTGTGACATTGAGTATCTGCTGCCATAATTTCAATTGGCATCAGAGCAGGCACCCTGCCTGTATTACTGGGTGAGATCTAGGGATATCACTTTCTGGCACTATGGACAAAGAAGGAGTTTTTGGAAACAGACCACCCATTCTGGATGGAACAAATTATGACTACTGGAAACCTCGTATGATTGCCTTCTTAAAATCACTGGACAAAAAGGCTTGGAGAGCTGCTGACAAAGGATGGAACCATCCCACCATAACTGAGAAAGATGGGACAATCAGTCTGAAGCCTGAGGAAGAATGGAGCAAAGAAGAAGATGAGTTAGCCCTGGGTAATTCCAAAGCTTTAAATGCCTTGTTCAATGGAATTAATAGAAACATATCCAGACTAGTACATCAATGTGAACTGGCCAAGGAAGTGTGGGACACTCTCAAAACTACCCATGAGGGCACATCCAAAGTAAAAATGTCAAGGCTTCAGATGCTGACTACCAAGTTTGAGAACCTAAGGATGAAGGAAGATGAAACCATTCATGAGTTTCACATGAACATCTTGGAGATTTCCAACACCTCAGGAGCATTGGGAGAAAAGATGTCTGAAGAAAAACTTATGAGAAAGATTCTCAGATCCCTGCCTAAAAGATTTGCAATAAAGGTAACTGCTATAGAGGAAGCCCGGGATATCAGCAAGTTAAAGGTGGATGAACTCATTGGGTCTCTTCAGACTTTTGAGATGGGGATCAGTGACAATGTTGACAAGAAAAACAAGAGCATAGCACTTGTATCCAACACTGAAGATGAAAACAAGGAGGATGAAGAAGAAAATATTTCAGAAGCTATAGCCATGCTTGGAAGACAATTCAACAAACTCATCAAGAGAATGGATCCAAAGTCAAGGTCAAATGTTGAGAACATCCCCTCTGACATTAACAGATCTTATGACTCCAGCAGAAGACCAAGGTCTGAAGAGAAGGGAAATCAAGGCAGAGGAATTCAATGCCATGGTTGTGAAGGATATGGGCATATTCGAGCTGAATGTCCTACCTTTCTTAAGAAACAAAAGAAAGGAATGACTATTACCTGGTCCGACTGTGATTCAGAAAGTAATTCTGAAGAAGAATCTGCCAAACTAGTTACTGCACTAACTGGTGTTTGTACCTCTGAAAGTGACACTAGTGATGAGGAAGTGACATTTGAAGAACTGGCTGATACTTACAAGAAATTATGTATCAGAAGTGCTGAAGTCTGTATGCAAAATGAGAGACAAACAAAACTCATCATAAAGTTGGAGGCTGAAAAAAGGGCAGACCTTGAAACTATAAGTCATCTAGAAGGGGAAGTTCAAATGCTGAACTCAAAACTGAACCAGATGACCAAATCTGTCAAGATGCTG